GGGTGTGCATATATCTGCTTGGATGTCAGTTATGGTCTCTTTGGGGTGTATTCCCAGTAGTGGAATTGCTGGGTCAAATGGTATCTCTATTTGCACCTTTTTGAGAAAGCGCCACACCGCCTTCCACAGTGGTTGCCCCACCAGGCGGCTTTTGAGACTGAGGGGCCCTGAGCTTGTGCTCTCAGGGAACTGGGGTGTGGAGGGGGCTGCCGTGGAGGGCCACGCAGTGCTTGATGCCACAGCAGCCCCGCTACCCATCAAGTGTCCAGTGTCTATTGGAGATGGAGGGCGAGCCCCTGCCAGCCCAGCGAGGTTGAGAGCCGAGGTGCCCACCTCCTCGTATATTAACACTCCCAGAGTCCCCAAGGCGCACATGTGTTGTCTTTCCTGTTCACAGAGCGGGGGAGGAGCAGGGGATGAGGAAACAGACAGTGTCAGATCCGGGATTCTCTTTAAAAAGCCACGGAAACTGTACACAGGAAGTGAGCAGTGGTTTCCAGGGGTGTGGTGGCTGTAGGGGCTGCGAGGGACTGCTAATGGACACACCAAGTCGGTCAGAGCGAGGAGAATGTTCTAGAATTAGTGGGATGGTTGCACCACCTTGTAGATGCTAACTCCCCCTCAGTCATGTTCTTTAGAAGGTAAACTTTTCAACAAACGAATGGCTAGAGAAGCTGTGGTATATTCGCACAATGGAATACTATGCTGCATTAAAAAACAAGGAACTCATGCAATATTATTCAAAATGGTTGACTCTGGAGAACATTATGCTGAGTGAAATATCCCAGTCACAAAAAGGACAAATATTACATGATGCCACTGTTGTAGAATGGGACTGTCCTTGGGGTTGGGGAGAGACTGAGTAAGATGGGTTCAATAATGTATACTGCACTGAAACAGAGGAGGGAGAAAACTGTTTAAAAGAGATATATAACTAGGTATTTCTGTCATCACAGGAGTCTAGAGCGAGGGCTACATGGTGGAGGGGACCTGGGGGAGGGTTTGTAAAACAATGAAAGAATCCTTTCTTTTACTTTTCCATAATTTTTGACTCATGTACTTATAACTTGTTAGTCAAATTTGTGTCTTCTAGGTTGCAACACCCCCATGATACATCTTCAAGGATATGAACATGTACGGCCAAGCACAATCAATAAGAGTGCATCTAAATTCCAAAATCAATCTCCATAATAGTCTATGTGTTTCCTACTGCCAAAGGGGCCCTTTAGAGTAGTGAGAGAAGATCTTCACCGTGAAACCCACAGCGTCCCTTTTAAGCAGGAAGTAGCTAAGAGAATACGCCATCCCCTTTTCCTTATGACTCAGGGTGAAGTCTCTCTCAGGGAGGAGTGATAGGGAATGGCAAAGGACACACTGACAAAGAAGATTAATCAGAACTGGCTTTGACAAGCACTGTGGCATTTGGACAAGAACAAACTGGGAGGAGGGTAGAGAGAATAGTGCAACAATGAATGAATGGAAACCCAAAATCTCTGTAAATGTTTATGAAAATTAATAAAATATAGAAAAAAAAAAAGAAGGTAAACTTTATGGTGCTGCAATGTTGTTGTTGTGGATTGCCATGAGTCGAGCATGACCCTAATGGACAAAAGACCTGAAGCCTTTCTATAACTATCGTTTCTCCAGGTTCCTAGAGTTTCCAGAGGCACGTTGTTTAGAAAGTGGAGGCCGCTCCTGCTCTCGATTAAACTAATTAGTCCAGAGGCAAAGGTGCTGCTAACGTTAAGGTGGTCCCTCTTTAGTGGTTCAAATCCAGCAGCGGCTCCTTGGGAGAAGGGGCCAGGCTTCTCTTGTGCAGCCTCCCAGAAACCTGCTGGAATTGATTTTGCCTCAGTGGTTATAAATTTGCATTTTGATGGATAAGTGAAATTTGGATCTGTCTGCAAACTTAAAATAATGTCAGAGAACCTTCTTGTTTGAATTTGGGCTACACTTGGGGTTATAGTCTTGGCCCAGGCTCACTGGCCGCTGGTACTTACTTATCATAGGTCTGAAGAGGCACTTTGTTGAGACCCTGGTCATCATTGCCAAAACCAGAGTTCACAGCCACTGGGCGTTTCTAACTCATGGAGACTCTCCATCGGGTTTCTGAGGCTGTAACTCCTTACGGGAGGTGGAGGTAGAACCACTCATCTTTCTCCCTCAGGGGCTAGTGGGTTCGAACCTCTGACCTTTTGGCTAGCAGCCCAACATGTAATCCATGATGCCTGTCTTAACTATGCAGTGAAGCAATAATTTAGCAAGTTCTTTGCTTTTGGCTTGACATTCTTCAGCTGTAAAGTTTTCATTCTAAAGCGTACTTATTCTGTTGTGTTTTGTTTTCTCTGTGGGTGTGCATCATTCGTTTAGAATGGTCAGTCTGTAGACATTGAAGAGACATGGGTGTCCAAACCAGAAAATGGGAGGTCTTCAGCCCTTTGGAACCAGGGAGACACTCAAGACCTAAAAG